CTCTCTCTCTCTCTCTCTCTCTCTCTCTCTCTCTCTCTCTCTCTCTCTCTCTCTCTCTCTCTCTCTCTCTCTCTCTCTCGCTGCACTCAAACTCACAGCTATGGCGCCCAGCACTGTCGACTAATCTCCCAGCACTGTTCCCGTTCCAATATCTTGGCACCCAAGCAACACAGCAGCACTTCCGCATCTAACAGAATCGAAGAAGAGGAGTTCCTCACGCTGGCCTCCCTTTGGTGCTTGCGCATCTGCCTCCCTCGTGATTCCAGAATCCCCCTGTCAAGCCCTGCTGCAGCCGACAGTGATTCAGTCTGTCTTGGCATTTCCGTGGGACTGAACTGCAGTGGAACCTGTACTGGACACGTGGTGACGTCCAACCTACTGACTTCCAGGGCCTTGGGACTGACTGCAATGTATCCAGGACCGAACACGTGCCGGCTTCCTCAGGGCCTACTACTATTCCTACCGGTCTTATCCTAGTAGATTTCTATTTTGGTCCGTACAGTACCTACCGGAAGTAGATCTCCATTTCGGTCCGTACAGTATCTACCCGAAGGTTCTAGGAAATGGGACACGGTACAGGGCCCGTACTGTGGGAGCATGTGAATCCTTTCACCATATATTAATTAACAGCAAAAAAAAGTGCACTTTTCATGCAAAGGTCGCCAGCATTCCAGTTTCGAAAATTTTCAGAAATTTCAGAAATGTCAGCAGAGGGATATTCAATCATCCAAAAGACACCGAATTTGGCACACAGCACCTCGAGCCAAAACAGAAACAGGCATAAAAAAAAGAACAATCGAGAAAACATTAACATTTGACACCAAAAAAAAAAAGAAAAGAAAAGAAAAAAAGACATTTGACACCAAACCCTAATTTCTGTTCTGGACCTGTTACCCAAAGCTGAAAAGTTGGGGTCCCCGTTAACCACTTGTGGTTAAGTAGCACTGGTAAAAGCCATAGGCCGTTTTCCCGGGCGCCTGGGCACCCGACTTGTGCCCGGATACACGCCTGGGTGCCTGGCCGGGCATGACCCCCGGGCAGGGTTCCGAGCAGCCCCAGAACAAAAAAAAAGAAAAAGAAAAAAAACGGGGAAGAAAAATGTTGTGTAGAATTGCAATATAAACGACTTTTGGCTGAGGGTCCAATCAGAATTTGTCACAGAATCAGAGATAAAAAAAGAAAGAATAATCGTCCTTCGGGACATCCGTTAAAATTGGAACGATACAGAGAAGATTAGCATGACAGAAAAACAAAACCAAAAAAAAAAAAAAAAAATAGAATCACACTAAGGCACTCCCCTTTAAACCCTTTTAACGGCTATGAAACCAATTTATACCCCCCTTTTCCCCCCTTGACAGCCAACACTCAGAAAAAGAAACAAGCCTGGATTTGGGTCCTCTACGAGAGCACGGAACACCCCTCCCCCCCGAAAAAAGTCCACGCCCGGGTACCCCAGGCATCACGCCCAGGTGCCCGGACGGGTGCGACAATCTTCCTAGGAAAAACCCAGATTGCCGCAATTTCGATTCTCAAGTTTTCCCTGGGCGAGGGACTGGTGGCCCGGGGTGTGTGTGTGGGGTGGGGGGGGGGGGGGGGGGACAACACCTACGCACCTGTTGTCTTCGGCACCATTGCAGAATGCATATCAGAAAGGGACAACAGAACTGTATTATAGTACATAGTACATATTATATTACTACTACATGGCCAGTAGCTGCGCTCCCATCTACTTCCCCTGCCCCCATCGAGAACAGCAGTGCCTATGGCCAGCACTTTCCCACACACCACCACAACCTACATGCACACACCCACACCCACACCGCTGATGGCCAAAGACCCTACCAATAATGAACAGGGGGAGCAAGCCAACTATCTCACTTGGTTGGCACCAAGAGTGCCGCAGGTGGTCAGTTGGGATTGAATGCACAACCTCCTGAATGCCACTTGCGAGCCTAACCAATTGAGCTACGCCGCTTGCTCTGTCCATACTTTTTTTTTTTTTAAATCAACTTTCTCTTTCCTTTTTTTCTTTTGAGTGGGTGATTACTTTTTTTTTTTTTAATCAACTTTCTCTTTCCTTTTTTTCTTTTGAGTGGGTGATGCACCTACCTATTTACAACATCTTGGAAATCTTTGGCACGCCTCAAGAAAGGTGAGCGGTGCTTCTTAGAAGACACTCCTAGACGGTCCAAGTCAGCACCACCTTTGCCAGAACCTTTTGAAAGACTGGCTCGATTATTGCCGCCCCCGGCAGTAGGGGACCCGGCTGAAGGTGTCAGCCCTGCATTCCCCGCCTGCGCAATTTGGGCTGCCGCTTCTGCACTGTTCTCGGACGGAAGCAAATTGGTGAAGATCCGAATGATGCGATCGTTGGAGTTTGTCAGCAGGCAGTCTCCCGACCGATCGAACGCCACCTGGCGAATCGCTGAGCCAGGAGAGACCACCACCACACCCAAGATGCTCTGCGTAGCCACGTCAACAAGCAGCAATTCACCCTTCGCATTCCCCACATAGACGAGATCGCCCTTCTTGTTGAACGTGGCCGCAGACGCAGAGACGCCATGAGCTTCTCCCCCAGCATTTCCGCCTTTACCTGCCCTTCCCTGAGCTTGAGGAGTGCCACTCTCCTCAGCACCCTTGGAGAGAGGGAGAGCTCCTCCTCCACACGACCTCTCACCTCTGTTAACGCTGTCGGTTTCGCAAAGTTCTCGAAGGAGAGGTTTTTTCGACCCATCATGCAAATCGACGAGAACTGGCGACCCAGATGCGAAGCAGACGAGGCATATAGCCGAATCCTTTGGACTGATCGAGGCTCCCGTAACTGGAGAGTCAAACTCAACAGTTATCTCTACCTTGCCCGATACAACGTCCCATAGGAGGATCCGATCGGGGGCCCCTCCAAGAAGTTTGTGTCCCGTTTTCGACCAACTTACACAGGTAATTGGCGATGACGAGTACTCTGAAGTCAGCTCCTTTGCAACACCCCTTGTGTCAAAGTCCCATATCACACTCGATCCATCGCAGCAGCCAGCTGCCACAAGAGAAAGAGGAAGGCATCACGACAAAGAGCTACACACCATAAGCCCAGCTGTCCTTCTGGACATCAGTCAAAATCCGGAGGAGAAAATTGGAATGAGACAGAGAAAAGATAGATTACCATCAACCCAGCGCAAGAATGACACGCACACCTCGCGCAGATCAAGAAATGGGACTTCGTAACAAGAAAAAGAAAAAAGAGTTACACCATAAGGTATTATTCTCAGACCATGATCAGCAACAATGTGTACCTTGTACCACCAAAACGCTTTCCCAGCTATCTGGGTCCAAGGCAGCAGGTTAACTGGTGCAAAATTGCGGTCCAGGCCTACTGGACTTAGAAACCTGGCAGCACCTGGCAATTACGCGCCCATGCTGATTCATTTATATTTCGGTGTGTGGCAGAAATCAGCATTGCAAAAAGGAGGCTAGGTGGTTTAGTGGAGGGGCGAGGGTGCCAGCTCCGCCTCTCTCGACGTCAATTCCTTGAGACTGGACTTGAGCAGGAAGGGGCGGTTCCACATGGACACAAGGGAGCCATACGATGTTGTGTGCTCAGAGAGAGGCCATGGGGAAACACTGGGTTGGGGCAGGCAGCTGTGCAGAAGAGGAGAGTGAAAAAATACAAAGGAAAGCAAATGATTATCCAGTACAGGAGGGAATGCATAAGGAGGGGCTTTGGGCAAACAGACAAAAAATATTAAGGAGTGTGTGCAACACCAAGACACCAAGCTGGGGGGGAGTGCAATGTTGAAGGAAAGAGAGGACACACCTCACAGCTAAGGGAAAAAAGACAAATAAATTGAAATAATCATAATCCCTTCACTGCCAACCACCACTGTACGTGCGCTGTGTCTGAAAAAGGTAATTTCTTGAACTGACAGAGAAATTATGAGTTCAAGTCATGACCGAAACAACACTGTTAGGGGCTACTCCCCTGGTTATAACAAAAATAACAACAACAATAACAACAACAACAACAACAAGCACAACCACCAGCACAACAACAAGCACAACAACCACAGCAGCAGCAGCAGCAGCAGCAGCAGCAACAGCAACCACCAGCAGCACCACAACGACAACGACGATGACCAGCAGCAGCAGCAGAAGCAACAACAACAGCAGCAGCAGGAACGGCAACAACAACAGCAGTAGCAGCAGCAATAACAGCAACAACAACAACATCAACAACAACAACAACAACAACAACAACAACAACAACAACAACAACAACAGCAACCAGCAGCAGCAGCAGCCACAACAACAGCAGCAGCAGGAACAACAACAACCACAACCACAACGACGACGACCCCCACAACAACAATAACAACAACAACAACAACAACCACAACCACCACCACCACGACCACAACAATGACAATGACCACAACAATGATGACGACGACCACAACATCAAGAACAACTGCGACAACCGCAACAACAACACTATGACGACAACCACAACAACAACGACGACGATAACGACAACAACTTCAACGACGACGACCACAACAACAACAACGACCACCACCACAACAACAACCACAACCACAACCACAACAACAACGACAACCACAACCACAACAACAACAACAACAAAGGCGACGACCACCACAACGATGACGAACCAACAACAACCGCAACGATGACGACCACAACAACCACCGCCACCACTACCACGCCCACCACCACCACCACCACCACCACAATCACCGCCACCACCACTGCAACGACGAGCACAACCATCACCGCCACAATGACCACCACCACAACCACCAACACCCTACTGGACCAACCAATAATCTCCCACAGAGATCCCCATCTCCTCAAAGATTCAGATGTCCAAGGTTGGCCTTGACAAAGTCGTTTTGGCTGCAGTCTTACTCCCAAACTGTGCCTCTCTGTTTGGTTCTCTTCTGTGACCAAACTGCGATGAACCCACACATGGCACCATCTGTGGCGCTGGTGGCAACCGATGAACAACAAATGTGTTGGCACCATGCGTTGGCACCATGCGTCGGCAGCAAGTGGTGAAAAACACGTGGTGGGATCATCGTATGGTTTCATCAGACCCACACGTGGACCATTGGACAGTTTAGATACCATCCAACGGTCCTCATTGATCCCAGACAAGTCGTGTGCAACGACCTTTGCAGACCACAGTCTGAGTCTCTGACAGCTGTATTTTCCGAGAAGCCATTTCCTCTCTGATGAGTTCTTGGTGAGATTTCAATGTCTGGAAGTGTTTTGGCTTGCTCGTGACTGAATGTGTGTGTCTACCAAAAGAAAAAAGGGAAAAAAAAAGAAAAAAAGGAAGTGTATAATAATTTAGTATTTTATCTTTGGTTTTATTTTCAGTTTTCATAGCGAATCTTATGGTCACCCTCAGGCAAAAGATGTTTGGTTTGCAACTCTGCATCACATTTTTTTTCCCAGATTTATTTATGTATTTATTTTTTTTGCTCTGGGACTGGCCAGGACCTTGACCGGTTACTTATCAAACCTTGATGATGTGCTAGTTGTGCAAGGTCAACTCACACAAGGGCCTTTTTGGCTGAGCCTGGCCATCATTGAAGTCCAACACAGCCAGAAAAACTCCCCAATGTGAATATGCCCAAGGGACCCAGAAACTCGTGGTCCTCACCAAAGTTCTCCCTTGCACGTTTTGTAACTCATCTCCGGGACATCACAAGTTCGACAGGTTTGTTGAGGGGTTCTGCACCAATTTGCACTATTCATTCTCTGAGGAAATGACACCCAATCTGCAATGTTGCATCCCGCAGATCGACTTCCGCCTTAGCACCCATAGGGGTAGTGGGTGACACGCATGGGGCTGGCAAACATGGGGCTGGCAGTCTTAATGGGGCTGGCAATTAAATGGGGCGGGCACAGATGAGGTTGGTACCCATAGGGTTCTCACCCATGGGGCTGGCACCTATGGAGTTGCTGGCACCCATGGGGTTGGGGACCAAGTTGGTGTTGGCTCCAAATCGGTGTTGGCACAAAATTGGGGTTGGCAAAAAATTGGGGTTGGCACCCACTGGGTTGACATTTTATATGGGAATTGGCACTGATGAAGCGGTTTTCACCTGTTACAGTCTTCCCCCGAATACAACGTACGCCGTACGGTCATTATAGCTGAATTTGGTGTATCTTTCAGTCTAAATTCAGCTATAATGACCGTACGTTGTATTCGGGGGAAGACTGTAGCAGTAGCGAATGCAGATCCCAGGGCTCGATCCCTAGTTCTCACCTTACCTGTGTACAGTATCTGTGTCGACCCCGAGTATTTGAACCCGTGACCTGTGTTTTGACAGTTGTTGTTGTCTGTCGTAGGTCTGTGTAGTGGTAGGGGTTTGATCTGTAGGTCTGTCGAGTGACAGTCACAGCCCTGTAGAGGTCGTAGCTGTAGGGATCCTGAAAGGTCAAGGCCGTAGCTGCTACAGTCCTGAGAGGTCAAGGTCGTAGCTGCTACAGTACTCGAAAAGCCAAGTCCACGAACTCCCGGAAGGTCCGGAAGTGGCCTTTCGAAGCTGCTCACGTTTGCAACAGAGGCAAGTAGGCAAGTGGGCAAGTGGTGGAGTCTACCCGTGCTGAGTCAGCAGTCCCAGTCCCAGTCAGTCCTAGTCCAGTCCAGCAAGTACCGTACGGGACTGTGTGCACCACGGGCATGGGAAAGGGCCAGACCAACGAGCTACAGAAGTATAAATTGAGGGGCAGCAACCAGCCATTCATTCATTCCCGCGTAAGCCATGCGGAAGCGCTGCCATAGCGACTTGTGCGAGGTGGTCTGCAGTGAGCCCGGAGACGAAGTGGGCGAGAAGGAAGCTTAGCCATAGCGATAGGGCAGCAGCGGCCATAGCCGCCATAGCTGTAGATGCGTGCGGGTGTGTGTGAGTGTACAGAGTGTGATGTGTGTGGGATACCCAGGGTGATCCAGTGTCGAGTAAGTGACGAACAGAGAGCTGTACAGGCGATGTGCCGCCATAGCCAGTTGAAGTGAACTTGTATCTAAGCTGCATTCTTGGTTACCATATCTCTGAGTTCCGAGTGGGCGCTTGACGACAGTTTGCTGCGCAACCTGTTTGCATGCATGTGAAGTGTGAATGAAATCGAGTCTGATTGCACTGATCATCAGGTCCCATTGAGTTGGCACACACATCTGCAATGTGCGCCCCCCGCCTCACCCACCGGGTTGGCACCAAATTGGGACCGGCACCCAATTCACAATCTTCATTCTCTCTTTGTGCGATTAAGACTCGCCATATCGCAGTCATGAAGGGAAAAAGATAAGAGATGAAGAAGAAAGAAAATCCAAAATGGTAATCACTAATTAGTAATTACTGATCCATTGGCTCATACCTGCGAGTAAGGTTCCCCGACGATTGAATGCTAGACTCTTCATGACGGAGTGCCATAGCTTGTCTTCTATGACCTCCGGGAAATCTGTTTGGAATGGGTCTGCAACAGCAAAACAATAGTCATCACCAGCCAATACAGCAACCGGCCTTAAAGTTATTGATGATGATGGGGCACAAAACAAAAAAGAGTGACTGACCTCAGAGACAAATAACAACAGCTAAGGGCAAGCCAGCGAGCCAGTGAACATGCAGGGCTTTCAAGCATAATAGACTGAACCAAGGGAAAAGCACGTAGAGGGGTCCACTCTGGCCTGCCAGTGCAAAAACTGGCCCAGCCGGAAGGCACCTGGACGTAAAGATGCCCAAGTGCAGGATCCACACCTTGACATGCGGAGACCCAGATGCATCCCGAGCAGGCAATTTTGTTCTTTCAAACATGAAGGGGATATTTCCACCCTACATCCTTGAGCCAAAAGCTCATGAACCCCTTCACAATTGTGACAGTTTGATTTCCACCGGAGAAAAATCACAATGAACTCTATATGTCAGTGTGATCACGACATGCAACAAAGAAAGCAGTACTACTACTACTAGTCATAGTCGTAGCAGTAACGGTAGCAGAAGAAAAAGATGATGATGATGACGATGATGATGATGATGATGATGATGACGCCAATGCCGATGCCGATGACGGTGATGACAATGACAACGATCACGGTGATGACGATGACGATGACAATGATAATGACAATGACAGTGACAATGACAATGATGATGATATATGGCTTGCGGGCCATAATGGCCTTCCGTGGACCCCAAACCAGTACCCTGCCAGCTAAGGGCTCTCTTGATAACCTTATCATCTGGGGTATCCTGTCCAAATCACCCGTGCATCAGATCATTCTGCAATAAGCATGCAGGCGATCCAGAGAAACAAATAGGCATCCAAACTTTCGATCAGTGAGGCTGGAGCCTATTTGTAAAGATGCCCAAGGGGATGCACCTGGACATGAAGATGTCCAACTGCATGATCCACGAATAGGCCGCAGCCCTAGTGACCAAAAGTTTGGATGCACACCAAACAGCACAAGGCAGGACCTTGGATACTTCAGAAAGCCTTAGGAAGAACTATTAGCACATACTTCAGGCCCTTCAGGGAGGTGCCAGTTACTCGAGAAAGTTGATGAAGTTCAGTAAAGCACACAAAGCGAGTGAGACTTGTGGGTTGGTTTTGTTTTTTTCCACCTTTCTTGTTTTCAATTGTGTGAGAGGAACAGGTAACGGACACAAGTCAGTCGCCAGTAGTCTCCTTCTGAGGCACGAGATACCATCAAGGGAACAGACAAGGAAGGTCAAAGCAGGGGGAAGGGGGGAGGGGTGGTTCGCTGCTGCATCTAGCCAGCAACAGGGAGAGCCCGGAGAGGGGCTCAGATGGTGGGGTCAGACGCCA